ATGTACTGAAAACATTTGGAATTGACACAATTTGCACTCAAAAATTGCTGGTAAATTTCACATTTAATGACAAGAAACGACAACTAACACATTGAATTAAATGTGAAATTTTAAAGTAGTTCGACTGAAATAGTATTTTCTTGTGTGGCATACTCCAATAATCTTTGATTTATTTACAACTTCAAAAAATGGCATTAAATGATGGCTGTTGAGCTTTAAAAATAAAATGCAAAAAGACTGGCACACCATTATTTTTGCTCCCAAATAATGCTTTATAATATAATGGATTGCAATGTTTCGGCCACAAGCGGTCTTCGTCAGGCTTTGAATTGAGAGGTTTCAAAATTGAACATCTTACCTTTGTTTAACAGAATACCTTCTTTTGTGCTCCACTAAAGAAAATTGTATTGTCTGGAATGACATGAGCGTAAATAAATGCTGACAGAAATGTTTGGGTGATCTGTCCCTTTAATGAATATTATTGGAAATATTGTGTGTATATGCCAGGATCTTCACATCCAGAAACAATTTGTCCATTTCTTTTTTCCTGGAGCCACAAAAGGCCTATTTCCTCCTCCTTGTGTATAATTGGATTTGTCAAGCAGGCATCTTGCAGGCATTTCCAGCATGGCACATGTGAAGCGTTTATATCTGGGCAGCGCAGGTGCTGCTCCTCAGTACAATCTTCTCCCAAATTGGAGGATTTACTGTGTCAAAGCTTTGCACGGGGGCCCTATATAAACCAGGATAGAGAGACATGCCACTTGCTGTGTGAAGATGCTGTTCTAGCTCAAGCCGTGTTGAACAGGGTGTAAGGAAAGGTGTTGCGATCCTGTCTCTAGACTAGTGAAATACTCATAATTGAGTTTACCTGCTCTGTGATACTACTGATGAACTACTCCTCTGCCAAATGACAAAACGCAGGTTGTGAGACTTGAGATGTGCTACAGCCAGCAGTTAAATCAGTATTTGGTGGTGGGAAAAGTCAAGGTGCTGGTTCTTGTGCCCCAGGCAAGATGAGATAAGAACTTACAGTAAGATGGGTCACAATGGTTTACTGACAGATTAGTCACTTTAGATTTATTCTCATATATATATATA